CAAGGAGCCCAGCGCCGAGCAGCTGGAGACCCACAGGATGGGGATCGACGCGGACGGCGACCTCGCTTCTCGGTCCATCTCGGACCCCGACACCATCATGGAGCAGAAGACGTTGCAGTGGGAGCGCGTCTGGAAGGACCCGACCTTCGACGAGTCGGAGTTCGTGGCCGCGCTCAACGACACGCTGCGTCGAGCGCGTGAGGAGCCCTTAGAGCAAATCACCGCCGACCAGGTCCGCGCGGGCCTGAAGCGCATGAGCTCGGGCAAGGCGCGCGGCATCGACAACTTGAGCCCCGCGGACCTCTTGAGGATGCCCGGCGAGGGGGGCGAGGTGCTTGCCGCTCTCCTCAACGCGTGCGAGTCCGAGGGGGCTTGGCCGTGGCAGGTCTCAGCCGTGATAGGCTGCGCCATCCCCAAGCGGACTGGCGGCGACCGCATCATCGGCATGTTCCCGACCACCTGCAAGCTGTGGTCGAAGATCCGGGCGGCTGCGACCGACGACTGGAGCGACCAGCAAGCCGAGTGGTGGGATACAGCCATGCGTGGCTCATCGGCTCTTCGCGCAGCGGTATGCCGCGCCTGCATGGACGAGTGCGACGTGGAGAACGGCTGGATCACAGCCACCCTCCTGCTCGACATCGAGAAGTTCTACGACTCGATCTCCTTCGTCCGCATGCTCGCTGCCGCCGAGGACCAGGGCTTCCCCTCCATCGTGGCCGCCATGGAGGTGCAGCTCTTCGCGGGGCCGCGCCGCCTGCGCCAGCGAGCCTGGTTGGGGCGCCGGTTGCAAGCAGAGCGTTCCGTGGTCGCAGGCTCCTGCCACGGGGGCAAGATGGCCAAGGTGCTGCTTGGGCCAGTCATCGCTCGCGCGCACCGCGCCTGCGAGCGAGCTCAGATGTAGGCGTTCATTGATGACGCTGTCCTCCGTGCTGCCGGTACTCGGCAGATGGTCAGGGCCGACATTTACGCGTCGGCGGTTGCTCTCAAGGAGGGGCTCGACCAGGCGGGCCTCGTGGTCTCCAACAAGACCGTGCTGGTGTGCTCCGACCCCGCGCTGGGGCGGTCCATGGCCGCGGGCTTGGCGCGGCTCGGCGTCCCCGTCACCTTCGCTCCGCAGGCAGTGGGCCTCGGCATCGACACGGCGCGCGGGCGACGACGGCGCCGACGGCGGGCCAAGGGCCGCTTCCAAGCGGCCAAGCGCCGCCTCGCCAGGATCATGCGAATGCGGAAGGAGGTCCGCATGGCGAGGATCACCAAGCTGCTCTGGTCCACGGGCGCCCAGCCGCAGGCGACATACGGCCACCAGGCTAGTGGCCTGTCGCCGTCCTCGCTGCTGGAGCTGCGCCGCGCCGCTGCGGCGGCCGCCGTCGGGAAGGGACATGGCCGATGCCTGACGTCCACTTTGGCCGCGCTGCACGGCTCGCGCGACCCGGGGCTGGAGCTCAAGCGTCAGGTCGTCAACCAGTGGCTGGAGCTGTGGCGCGCGCGGCCCGACCTCCACTCGAAGGTGCGGCGCGCCTGGCCCGCCTGGTGGCGGCCCTCACCCGGGCTGGCCCCCGCCGGTGGCGCCGCGTGCGCGGGCTCGCGGCCGCCGTCATCGCGGTGCTGCTGGACACCGACTGGCGCCCAGAGTCGCCTCAACGATGGGTGCGGCCTACTGGGCCTGACTCCGTCGACGAGTGGTTCATCCCTGGGCCCGACGACGACGGCTTCGCGGTCGCCGACGCGTCCGAGCTGCTGGAGGACATGATCGCGGACTTCCGTGGGCGCATGTGGCAGCGGGCCGCCCTGCATCCGGCTGGCGAGAGCCTCGTCAACGGCGCCGACATGCTGCACGTCCAGCGGGAACTCCAGACATTCATGGCCAAGGGCGCGCTGGACCAGTGGTCGCAGTCCATCGTCGTGGTCAGCGGCGGTCAGTGGACTCGGGAGCGCCAGCAGGAGGCAGGCTACGACTCGGAGGTGCTGTGTCAACGGTGCCACGCCGATAAGGAGACTTTATTTCATCGAATTTGGAGCTGCCCGTGCAACACGGGCCATGCAGATTTTGAGGCAAGTGATTGCTTGGCCGCTCGAGCCCGAGCGGGCTGGGAACAGGGCCCTGCCTTGTGGCTGCGAGGTGTCTGCCCCGTCGGCTTGACCACGCCGACGTTCGACGAGAGCCAGGCGGAGTGGGTCGAGTACAGCGGGGGCCCCCTCGACAGCTGCAGGACCGAGCGCGACCAGGTGCTCGACATTTTCGGCGACGGCTCGGGAGGTATGCACACGTCAGATCCTCGTCGCCGACGCGTGGGACCAGCTGCCGTGGTTCTTCGACCAGACGGAGAATCGTGGGCCCCAGCAGGCATCGTTGCGGGCGGCCTGCGCGGGCCCAGGCAGACAGTGCCGAGGGCCGAACTCCTCGCGCTGGTGTTGGCCCTCGAGAGTTCGACAGGGAAGATTCGTTTTCACTCCGACTGCCGATCGCTGTTGGGCGGGTGGAATGCAGAGAGGTACAGAGCTTGCATCGGTAGCAATGGCGACCTTTGGGTCCGTGCTCGATCGGCCTTAAGCTCCAGGGGGTCCGACGCCAGTGATGTGGAGATCCGTTGGGTGCCCAGTCACCTCGACGATGATTTAGAGCGAGTCGATCGTGAGGGATTGCACTTTGTAGCTGTAGGCAATGTCTGTGCCGATAAGGCGGCTGGGGGTGCGGCCCTCCGGGCCAGCCGGTGGATCGTCGGCGATGCGCCTCGTGCCGACGAATGGGATGCCATCGCTGCCCTCGTCCGGAGGAGGGCCCGCCGTGCGCTCACGAACACGATTTCCCAGGATCCGTGGAATGCCACTCGTGTCGAGCGCACCCGCCCGCCGACCCAGTCCCGTCTCCAGCGTGCGTTGAGAAAGAGCCCGCATTCCTGGGAGAAAGTCCAGGGACGTTGGCTCTGCGTCCGCTGCCGCCTCCTGGCCCCCTCGGTCCGAGTTTTGGACGCCGCCGACTCTCCGTGCAACCCTCCCCCGTCGTGCGCGGGGGGGGGGGGCCTGGTTTCCCAGGGGGTGTCTCGGCGGTTCAGGGGCCAATTTTGTCTGGAGGCTCGGACGTGCACGCCTCACACGTAATGCAGAGTTGGCCTCAGTGTTCGCTGTTTTTCTGTTCGGTCTGCGGTAAAACCGGCTCCACCGACTTTCGCCATCTTTGCAAGCCGTGTGAGCCATCGCGAAAGGGTGCCGAGAACTTTTCGCGAATTCGACGTGGCCTCCACCCATGCCCCCAGGGAGCGCCGAAGGCCGTTTTAGCGGCCCAGAAGGTCCTCACAGGAGGGACTTCGGGTTCGTCAGGGCAGGGTGGGGCCTCTTTGTAGGTGTAGGGAGGGACATCGCGTCCCCAGGCTCCTTACTCCTTACTCCTCCTCCTCCTCCTCCACCTCCTTCCCCCCCTCCAACTTATAGTGGTGGTGGTGGTGGTGGTGGTGGTGGTGGTGGTGGTGGTGGTGGTGGTGGTGGTGGTGGAACACAGGCCCATCACAGCGGGCGAGGCCCGGAAGTGCCAGGATCGCGCGTCTTCCACTTCTCTGTGGACAGGACGAGGTGTGCTGTTCCTTTCCACTTCCCGTGGTTCTCGAGGCTCGAGAGATGAGGCCATCTCGGGGCCCTGTCCGTGCCGGGACCGCGCGTCTCCCACTCCTCGGGTGGACGGGAAGAGGTGCTGTTCCCTTCCGGAGCGGGCGCTCTCGCCAGCATGGCAGGCCCGCGGGGCGCTCGTCGTCCAGGAGGGCGGCTCCCGCAGTGGCGGAGGAGGTGCTCGAGGGGCTCCCGAGGACGAGACCTGGGACGGGAAGGTGTAATGCAGCATCGTTGATGCATCCTGGGTTTATTTTGGTCCTCCTCCTCCTCCTCCTCCTCTTCCTCCTCCTCCTCCTCCTTTTTCCTCCTCACTCATTCACTCACTCGCTCACTCGTTCTTCCTCCTTCTCCTCCTCCTCCTCCTCCTCCCTCTTTCTCCCTCGTCCTCCCCCTCCTCCCTTTCTGCTCCCCAGCCTCCTCCCCTTCATCCTCTCCTCTCTTCCCCCCCCCTCTCTCCGCCCTCTCCTTGCGCCCTCTCCTTGCTCCTCCTCGTCCTCTGCCCCCTCCTCGTCGTCGCTTGCTCCACGCCCTCGTCGTTGTCGTCGCCGTCGCCCTCTTCCTCCTATCCTGCTCGTTACGACTAACTCCTCCCTGTCGCACCCCGAGGCGTGTCGGTAGGACGGGCCGGGCGTTTCGCTTGAGGCTGTGTATGATCCTTGAGTTGAGAATTTATTCGAGTTTCACGGGTGGAGGGCGGGATGTTTTCAACATGCGGTTCTCGCCTTAACGTCGCCGCGCAAAGTTGTTTTACATGTTCGCAGCAATAATGGGCGGGCCGTTTTCCTCCCGCCTTAGCGCCGCGCACATTCGTTTTAACACTTGCAAGAGTTTTGCGGATGGAGGGCGGGTCGTTTTCAACATGTGGTTCTCGCCTTCGCGCCGCACATTGGTTTCAAGAGTTTGCAGCAGTTTCGAGGATTCTCACGTTTACCGTCCCAGAAATGTTGTTTTTGCACGCGCGACGTCGGGCTGATAGGGCGCATGAGTTACGTTGCCTCGCGGTGTGGAAGTCCCAGGAATGGCTTCCTGGCGCGATTCAGGACCGTACCGTCAAGACGTCAGAGTAACGGTGATACGCGGCGTTGAAGTCCCAGGAATGGTGTTCTGGCACAGTTTAGGATTTTCAAGCTGTTGTCTTCCAACAGGGCCTTTAAGTAAGTGAAAATGAATCCATGTAGGGGCCTATGAATAAGGAACTTGGAGGGAGGGTTGACTGCAATATCGTTGATGAGTCTTGGGTTTGCACTAGTCCTCCTCCTTATCCTCCTCGTCCTCCTCCTCCTCCTTCCCTCCTTCCCCGTTACCTCCCCTGGCCCCTGGCCCCCCAGCTTCGCCCTCGCTTCGCTCCGCCCCCATTCGCGTCCCTCCGCGCCCCCTTCCCCCGCCTGCACCCGCAGGGGCCGCGGCCGCGGGCGCCGCGCGGTCGAAGCACCAGCGCAGGCTCAAGGAGTGGGAGAAGGGCTACTGGAAGGACGCCCCTCCCCCTCCAGAGATCTGAGGCTGAGGAAAAACTGGAGCAGCCAGATTTTTGCAATTTTCGGCGTCTGGAGATCCTCAACCGGCCCTGGGGCAGGAACAGAACCGACTCGGGATGAAGCACCGGCCTTAGTTGTCCAGACCTCCCAGGGGTCAAGCATGGCAAAGATTGGAGTGCCGGATGTACCGCTCGGGTGTTGCTAGAGGTGACCCTGGCCCAAGACGTCCCCAAGACGAGGACGACGACGACGACGACGAGGACGACGACGACGACAACGACGACGGCGACGACGACGACAGGACGACGACAACGACGACGACGACGACGACGACGACGACGACGACGACGACGACGACGACGACGTCGGCCGCTGCCTCGGCGCCCGCTGGAGCGAGGAGCCCCTGCGGGTCCTCTGGGCCTCGTGAGGGGTGCTGGAGGCCACCTGGGCCGTCCCCTCGAAATCTTGGGGACACGTGAGGACGCCTTCTGCAACACCCGATCCGCCCTCTCCTCCCTCGGGGGGCGTCCAAGAAGAGGGTGAGAACTATGCGGAGGTGGTTGTCGATATCATGGCTGGGCCATGGTGCCTCCTGGATGTCACGCCTCCCGTTTTCTTTTGATGGTGTGATGTTGTTGTTGCTGATGATGAGGATGCTGAGGATGATGATGAGGATGATGATTAGGATGGTGACGATTATGATGATTATGCTGATGGTTGCGTTGTTGGTGGTGGTGGTGCTTATTGTTGTCGCTGTTGTTGGTGTGGTTTTGGTGTTGTTGTTGGTGTTGTTGTTGTTGCTGCTGTTATTGTTGTGGTTGAGGTGGTTGTTGCTGCTCTTGTTGTTGCTGTTGTTGTAGTTTTCGTTGTTTGTTGTTTGTGTTGTGTTTGTTGTCCCTGTTGTGGTTGTGCTTATTGTTCTTATTGTTGCTGTTGTTCCTGTGGTTGTGCTTGTGGTTGCGGTTGTGATTGTGATGGCGGTTGTGGTGGTGGTTGTTGTTGCCGCTGCTGCTGTTGCTGCTGCTGCTGTTGCTGTTGTTGTTGTTGTTGTTGTTGTTGTTGTTGTTGTTGTTGTCGTTGTGGTTGTTGTTGTTGGTGTTGTGATTGTTGTTGGTGGTGTTACGATCAGTGTTGGCATTAGTACCATTCATCACGGCTCTTGTGCTTGCTACTGTTATCAATTTTACTCGTATTCTGATTATGCTCATTATTCGTATTAAGTTTCTGTATGTTCTTCGTCCTCGTGCTTTCCTGCCTCTTCGTCTTCATCTTCATCTTCGTCTTCTTCTTCCTCTTTCAAAGCGCTCACTGGCTCCCCCTCCGCGTCCGCGCACGTGCCTCGATCCATGATGCGCTGACCCGCCTCTTCCTGAACCACCTCCTCGGCGGACAGGGTTCGCAGTGCGTAGGCGTTTTTGCTTCGGCGGGGCACGCCTTTCGTCCTGCAGGGGTGGGGGGAGGCTGAGCGGCTTGTGCGATCAGAGGGCCTCGTTCAGTGGAAGTCATTGTGGCTTCGACTCCTCGGCGGGGTGGGCCGCTTGCATCGTGGCCCCGTGAGGGGGGGGGCGATGTGCGCCACCAGTGCCGGAAGGGGGGGGGGATCCGTGAGATATCAGGCAGCCTTTGGTAGCAGTCTACCACGCCTCAACGTGCCCAGGGGCACGGTGGCGGGGGCACGGTGGCGGGCACGGGGCCATCGTCAATACTGTGGCGGCGTGCGCTAAGGAATGTGCGCAGGAGGCTCGGGGCCCTGCGATGGTGACATCCATGGCCAATCCATGATTGGAATTCCATTGCCTTCCAGACCCTGGATTCCTGACCCAATGGTTCCTTATCCAATACCCTCGCCGGACGTCCCGATACATGTTGGGGTCTACTCTGGTCCTTCTCCTCTTCTTCGTCCATTTCTCCGAGCACGCATCTGGCTCGATCAGGTTCGCTGCTCTAGAGTCATCTGGCTTGCAACTCTGCGTCCAGCCTTGTGATGATTGCACTTTGCAGGAGTCCACAACTGTGAATTTCGGTCATCCCCCAGAGATGTCGCATGGGACTCATGGTGTTTGTCTGTCTGATTGTCCTCCTCCCTACAATGACTCTTGTCCTGGACTCAACGAGTGTCTAGTGCAACATGCGTGCTGCTAGCACGGCCCTCTGTGGGGCCTATGAGGCACATAGCTGCGGAGGTGCCGAAGCGCTGCTGCACACCCTTCTCTCCCGCCTGTGCTGCACGATCCAGAAATCTGTGCTGGAACCCTGTGTTGACTCGTGCCTTGCCGGAAACTGCGTTTGCCATTATCTTGCCATGATTTCTCTTTGGACGCCCGAAATGGGTACGGAAAGAATGGGTACAATGCCCAACAACAAATGTTGTCCCAAACCAACAGCGGCCGCTGTTGGGCAGGCGGCCTTCTGTGTCGAATGGACACAGGCCGCGGCGGCGTGGACAGCGAATCCGGTTCAAAATGAACAAGAACTGCTGTTGGGCATCGTACCCATTCTCTCCGTGACCATGTCGGGCGTCCAGCTTCTCTCTCGCCTGGGCCGAACTGTGTATGCCCAGGAGCGCACGACGACCCCGCTGTACTACGCCGCCGTCTCCCTCTTCACGACCTGGCCGCTGGCCATCCCCGTGGCCTCCGTCCTCAGCAGGAGCGCCGTCCCCGGCCAGGCGCCGCCGGCGCCGCCGCCGGCGCCGCCGCCGGCGCCGCCGCCGTCGTCGCCGCCGTCGTCGCCGCCGTCGTTGCCGTCGTCGCCGTCGTCGCCGCCGTCGCCGCCGTCGTCGTCGTCGTCGTCGTCGTCGTCGTCGTCGTCGTCGTCGTCGTCGTCGTCGTCGTCGTCGTCGTCTCATCGTCCCTGGACGAGACGTTGAGGCCGCGGCGTTGGGGGTGCGTCATGTCACGTCACGTCGTCGTCGTCGTCGTCGTCGTCGTCGTCGTCGTCGTCGTCGTCGTCGTCGTCGTCGCCGCTTGTCGGGCCTCGAGGCTCGACCGCTGTGGGCGCTCTCTTTGCCTCGTTGGCTTTCCTCGGGCCCTCGGGCCGCCGCCTCCTGGCCAGGGTGCCGCCGGGCGGCTCCGGAAGATCTCCCAGGGGTTTTTCGGGGGTCGGCCGGCGGCGCTGGGTCGCTCAAGTTCGGGAGACTCTCCATGGGGGGGGATCCCATGGGGGGGCAGGAGGGGATCCCCCCCATGGGATCCCCTCCTGGCCCCCATCGGATCCCCCGGGGATCCTATGGGATCCCCCCCCTGGGATCCTATCCCCCCATGGGATCCCCCCCCATGAAGAGTCTCCCGGCAAGTCGAGCCAAGGCCCAGGGAGCAGGGGCCGCCACGAGAGCGCGAAGTCCTTCGCGGCTCGCGGATCGCGGTTCCTCACCCTCATCCCCCTCGCCCTCCTCTTCTCCAACAGGGGGGGCGGCGCGAGAGCGTGAAGTTGTTCGAGCTTCCCGCTTCGCGCAGCGCGAAGCGCGAACACAGCTGCCCATGAGGAAGCCAGGACATTGTAAACCAGGACTCTGAAAGATGCGGCGGGAGAAAGCGAGAAATTGTGGGTGTTTCGATACGCGGCTGCAGTTTTCGCGGGCGTGCCAATTTGCTGTCTTACCAAAGTCTTTTTTTTTATCGGGTTATCAGCCCCCGATCGAGGGATGGAGGTGTTGAATTGGATTTCGCTTCGATGAAAGGCGATCCTGCTTGCCCGCAATGAGAAAAGGATTGCATTTGCTATCCCCGCGTGGATCCTTTTGCTGCCCGCAGGCCTGGCGCCAGGAGTAAGAAGGCGTCTGGGAGCAGAGGGAAGAGGGAAGGCCGAGAGGAGGCGAGGGGGGCGAGGGATCGAGGGGCCGATTCCTCTACACTTCAGCGGGAAGCGGCCGAAGCAACACGGGGGCGGCTCCCCGGGTCTCCGGCGAGATGGTGCTTCCGATCTCTTTATTTCGGCCTCAGGGGTGCCTCTGTCCTCGACCACCTCGGCTTCCGACCAGATTCCGAACACGTAGTTGGGAGTGAAGACTTCTGAAGAAGACACTGACCAGAAATCACCTGAGGCCACTCCCGGTCAGAGGAAACAGTCATGGTAACCCCAGAATCAAGCTCGGTCAGAGTTAAAGGGGGCCCCAGAACCGCAGTTAATCATTGAGTCATGGGGGCCACAGAACCACAGACCCCAGTTATGCAGCCCAGAGTAAACACCAATTCAACCTGACCAACTCGGTCCCTGGGGCCATGAACCATGTGTCCGCGGCGAAAAACTACTCCTGGGGAAGTGCTCGGGGCCTTTGGGGCCGGGGATTGACAAGTCAGATCGGCGGAAGACCGCTGGTGAGGCTTCGGGTTGCTCGCAGACAGCCCCCCTAGGTAATTAGTCCAGGCTGGCCGCAACAGGCCCTCCGAGTAGTCCGGGGCGGTCTCAAGACCCTTGTGCCACCTCTGGCTGCGCCCTAAGGGCGCTCCGCGCCCCAGGGTTTGGGTGTTGAGACCGCTCTGGACTATTCGGGGGGCCTGTTGAGGTCAGCTGGGGCTACCCGGAGGGCCTGTTGAGGCCAGCTGGGGCTGCCTGAGGGGGCTGTCGGTGCGCAGCCCGAAACATGATCAGACGGAATAGCAATCAATCGGAATGGACAACCGATCGCCGGGTTCTTTCGGGCAGCTGAGGAAGTGCCGATTTTGTTCCTCCTCCACCCGCTGCTCCCTCTTCATTCATAACTCTTCCCTCTCGGACCTCGAGTCCAGTCGACAGGGCGGGCCAGGCGTTTCGCATGAGGCTCCCTGACCGTTTATGTGATCCTGAAGCTTAGACATTGCAAGAGTTTCACGGATGTAGGGCGGCCCGTTTTCACCATGTGGTTCTCGCTTTAGCGCCGCACACTTTCGCTTTACAAGTTTGCAGGAGCTTCCAGGATGGATGGCGGTCGGTTTTCCAAATGCGGCCCTCGCTTTCGCACCGCGCACGTTCGTCGCACAAATTTGCAAGAGTTTCACTGATGTGGGGTGGCTCTTTTTCACTATGTGGCTCTCGCCTTGGCGCCGCGCACATTCGTTTTCAAAGTTTGCAAGGGTTCCACGGATGGAGGGCGGCTCCTTTACAGAGTGTGGTTCTCGCCTAAGCGCCGCGCGCATTCTTCTTAGGAGTGTGCAGCAGTCTCAAAGCTTCTTATGGGTCCCGGCATGACTCCGGATCACCCACATGCAGCAGTAACGCTGATTCGCGACGTTGATGTCCCAGGAATCGTGTTCTGGCACACTTCTGGACTTTCAGGAGGTTGTCTTCCAACGGCACTCCTTCAGCGAACAGGAGTCCGTGCATGGGGCCTGTAAAGAGGGAGCTTGGAGGAAGGGTGTGCTGCAATATCGTTACGCTGGTCCTCCTCCTCCTTTTTTTCCATTTGTTCCTCCTCCTCTTCCTCCTCCTGGAGCGGGCCGCGTGGGGGCGGCTGGTGGGAGCCGGTGGTCTCCTCGGAGGGGTGCTGCCAGACATGGCCCGTTCGCCTCGGGGCGCCGCGCGTCGGACGGGAGCGTCATGTCGCCGCCGCCGTGGGCTTCCAGGCGCTCTGGGCTGTGCCTTCTGGTGCTTTTGTCTGTGGCCTGGTAGCTGTCGAGTAGATGACTACACATGGACCATTCCTAATTCTTCGAAGGGCCACAACGGTGGACGCAGCCGAGGGCCCAGGGCTGGTGGACGCAGCCAGTGGAGTGGCCAGCTCTTGCGACAGCCCCGAGTTCAAGGGCAGCTGTCCAGGCGCCGGCAGCGAACCACGTCGAGGACTTGGCGCGGCTCTGCGAGAAGCTCCACAAGGAAGGCGTGGTGGACCAGGAGGTGCTGGCGGCCGCGCAGGGCGCCAAGGTCAAGGCGGCCCAGGCAGCTGAGGCGGCCAAGCCTGACAAGGGTTTGGATGACCAGCTGCGCGTGGTGCAGCAAGATCACGCACAAGGAGCGCACGGTGGCCAGGGCAGCCGAGTACGCGGAGGAGACGCGCAAGGTGCTGGCCGACGTCCAGGCCAGCTTCAAGGCTGCAGAGCAGGCGGCACAGGAGTGTGCCGACGAGCTGCGCGCCCTCACCGAGAAGCGCGTGGTGCTGCTGCAGCAGATGTCGGCCAAGGCGTCGGAGATCACAGACAGGGCGAAGGAGGACTCAGAGTTCATGCAGGCGTACAACGAGCTCAAGGACGCCCAGAGGAAGGCCCATGAGAGCGAGAGGGCCCTGCGGGAGATGTACAAGGACCACTTCGCCAGCGCCCCAGCGCCAGGGGGCCCACCTGCGGAGCCCGAGGCCACGGACCCGATGGGCCTCGATGCAGCAGCGCAGGAGAAGTTCTTCGAGGACTGGTGCAAGGGCATCGGCATCGACAAGGACGTCATGGCGCAGAACATGGGTGACAACCTTTATGTGGCTGATCGCGTGCGTAAGCTCTGCGAGTGCGCACCCGCTGGGGCAGCCAAGCGTCCACGGCGTGGTTGACAGCGCAGGCCAGCCGTGGGCCGACGAGGAGTGCGGGGGCCATGAGAGCCCACGCGAGGCGCTACCTGAGGGCCAGCCTAGAACGCAAGTCCCAGCCCCCATGGGGCACCCGCGAGGTAAACAGCGCGAGGGGCTGGGCTCAGTCGCCAAGGTTTTTGTTGGAGCCTGCCCACCTGGTGCACCCACAGGGTAAACAGCGCGCGGGGCAGGCCCGCCTCGACGAGAGCACCTGGAGGTGGTGCTACCGCAGCGCATGCAGAACAGGGCAGGCGCAAACGGGGGCGAGGCAAGCTCTCGAATGGGATTGAGATCTACACCGCCAACTGCAACACGTGGGCCAAGGGCGTCGCGTTCGTTGACGAGTACATCACCAAGCCGAGCTGCATCCTGGGCCAGGAGCACAGGCTGGACGATAACTGGAAAGAGGAGGTGCAGGCAGCGACCTGCAAGCGAGCATGGGCGATTGCGGTGGCGCCCAGTGCGAAGGGAGCTCGTGGGGGCCGCAGTGCTGGGACCTACATCGTGGCGCCCCAGTCCATCGGCCTCACCTGCGCGTGCGACCAGCAGGAGTGGGACTGCTCACCCACAGGCATGCGAGGGCGCATATGTGCGGCCCGATGCCCGCTGTGGGGCGCAGGAGGCGTGCTGCTGGTCTCGGCATATATGTGGACAGGCGAAGGGCTGTCATAACGCAACCTGCAGATCCTGGACCGCGTCGGCGAGCTCACAGAGATGCACGCTGTCCCTTGGATTCTTGGCGTGGACGCGCAGTTGGAACCCCGCGCCTTGCACGAGTCGGGCTGGCTCCAAGGCGCGGGGGGAGTGCTCCACACCACAGGCAAGGTTACGTGCGACAGCATCGGAGGTGGACGCGAGATCGACTACTTCGCGGTCGCCAAGGGCCTCAGCCCTGCCCTCAGCCAGGCAGAGAGGGTGGCGGACAGTGAGGTCTACCCGCGCTGGCCAGTGCGGATGCGCTGCCTGGAGCAGCCCAGGGAGGCCGAGGTGCTGCGCTTCATCAAGCCGCGTGCCTTCCCCATGGTGCTGCCAGTCGGGCGCGCGCCGCGGCCGCCGCAGTGGCCGCTGTGGCCGACCAGCCACACGGGCAGGCTCGACCAGGAGGACCTGGACAACTACTGGCGCCAGGTCTCGCGCACGGCAGAGGATGAGCTCCTGGGCATCTGCCAGACTCCAGAGGAGGAGCGCCCACGGTACCGCGGCCGAGGCGATGCGCCGAAGACGGTGCTCGCGCCGCTCCTGGGCCCCAGGGCGAGGACTGGCGTCGGGCAGACGGTGGAGGCCACGGCCTGGCGCTGGGCGGCCAACAGGATCGGCAGCCACATACTGGTGGCTCAAGCAGCCAGGGCGAAGCGCCCATACCCAGCCCGGGCGGCATGGCTACGCGAGTGCCTCGGCAAGGCGTTGCACCGAGGGCGACGCCGCTTGCGGCAGCTCGGGGCCACGGGACAGTGGCTGGACCACCTCCTCTTCGACATCGAGCACTGGCGGCTGCGCAAGGATGGCGCTGAGGAGCGGCTCGCCGCAGTCAGGGAGATACGGCGGTGGCTCCTTAAGCAGGCCAACAAGATAGTGAGTGCGGTGGCTCAGGAGAGGGCCAAAGCGTGGATGGGGTCGCCTCAAGGATGGCAGCAAGGGTGCAGCAGGTTTCTTGCACCGCATGGCTCGCTGGCGCCATGCCGAGCGACCCCCTGCGCCCATCGCGAACTACAAGAAGGACGAGGTGGAGTTGCTTGACGGGCAGACGCTGGTGGATGGGCATGCCCACCAGTGGTGCCAGCTCTGGGCCTCGCACGGGGCCGACAGCCAAGGAGAGCGCGACCGACCTTGGGAAGGGCGAGTCTACCCCGCACCACTCGTCAGGGTTTCGGTCGATCGGTTCAGGGAGGCAGCCAGGCTGTTCAAGACAAGCGCTGGCATAGGCCCTGGCTGGTGGCACCCGAGATGGTGGGCGTGGCTATCGTCAGAGGGCACCCAGGCGCTGGTCGACATCGCCGAGCACATATTCCACCACGTTCATTGGCCTACCCAGGTAGAGCTGCTGGCCTACTTCCTGGTGCCGAAGCCGCACGAGGATGGGCGCCGCCCGCTGGCCCTCTTGTGCTCCCTGGTTAGAGTTGTTGAAACGTTGATGGCAGATGAGTATCGCAAATGGGAAGAGATAGTCGCACGGCCCTATGACTGGGCTTGCAGAGGTAAAGGTGCTGAGGACGCGATGTGGGGCCTCATGCTCAGGGACGAGAGCTGCCCAGAGGACCACATCAACGCGGCTGTGGTGAAGGACCTGTCCAAGGCGTTCGAGCACGTCACCATGAGGCGCCTGTGGGAGCACGGGCGCAAGCTGGGGATGCCAGAGCAGGTGCTCCACTTCATGATCTCGATCTTCACCATGGAGAGGGTCGTCGCGCCGGATGGCATGGTGGCCTCTACACGAATGCGTACGTGGTCGGCAGCGGCTGCAGGCAGTCGTGGTGGTACACGGGCGCCCAAGTGCTTCACCATCATCTTGCTGGACATGGTCATTGCCAGGCCGTGCCTGGAGGGGGGCCAAGAGGTACGTCAAGCTCTACGTCGACGACGCCACGCTCCACCTGCAGGGCGAGCGGGAGGCGGTGGTGCACGAGGCGAAGGAGTCTTCGATGGCAGACATACAGGCAGCTGAGGCAGAAGGCCTCCCGCTGTCGCTCACCACGCACAAGAACGGCGTCACCAAGAAGGGCAAGAGCTATGTCTACACGGCAGACAAGCAGGCCAAGGCCAAGTACAAGCTCTGGGCGAAGGACTGGGGCCTGGAGATCCAAGGGGAGGGCGTGCAGCTGGGCGTGGACTTCACGGGCGGTGTGGGCGCGCAGCGGCGGCCCAAGCAGCAGGGGCGCGTAGAGGTCATGGTCGCGAGGGGTACCAAGCTGAACATCCTTAAGAAGCAGGGCGCCAGCCTTGGCACGGCCAAGGTAGCCAAGCTTGGCTTCTTGCCGTCCATGCGCTACGGAGTGGCCTGTATCGGAGCGCCGCCGAAGCTCACCGAGAGGGCTCGCATCAACATGTCGATGGCGCTGAGCGGCGAGGCCATGGGCAAGGATCGCACCTTGCGCCTATGGCTCGAGGAGGCCGACCCAGCGGTGAGCCTCACCATTCGGCCAGTGGTGAAGTGGGCTGAGGTGGTATGGAGTCGGGCCATGGACGAGGAGGCTATGGTCGCGGCATGGAGGAAGGCGTCAGCGCGGCTGGCCACGGCAGGAAAGGTGGCATGGTCGGCAGTCAGAGGACCTGCAGAGGCAGTCCTGAGACCCTGCGCGGCCTCGGCTGGTCATGGCCTGCGCCGTGGACGCTGCTCGCACCAGCGGGCGTCCAGGTGCCATTGCACACGGTGGCGCCTAAGACGGTCAGGCATAAGCTAGAGAGGGCCATCGAGCGGCAGGTCCTCGCAAAGTGGGCCACAGAAAAGGGCATCGCCGAGGAGGTCCCGATGCCGTTTTTGGAACCGGTGAGGGCGCTGCTCAAGAAGCGCAGGTGGGCTGCGCCATCAAGGCCTACGTGGGGCAGGACTACTGCACACAGGCCAAGCTCCAGCAGCGCGGCACGGTAGCCGACGGCATGTGCCAGCAGCGCAGGCGCGCGCTGGGCACTCAGAGGCGCCGCTTCGGGCGCTGCGAGGCCCACGAGGAGTGCAGGACCAAGCTCGCCGACAAGCATGCGGGCACTGTGCAGCGCATGGCGGGCTCAGGCGAGAGCTTGCTGCTCAACTGCGGCCTGGTGGCGCGCCCCATCCAGGACGTTGAGGGCGACGCCCAGATCGAGCAGTACCACTCGGTCAACGCAGAGGGCGACGACATCTGCGAGGACGACGTCATGCCGTTCATCTCGGGGGTCTGCTTCACTGACGGCTCGGGCAAAGGCGCCAACACGCTCAAGGGCTACGGCTGGGGCTACATGTGGTTCGAGGAGTCTGCTGGTGAAGGTCAGTACACGGCGCTTGGTGGAGCATACGGAAGCCTGCCAGGAGTGCGAGCTGATCTGTCGGTGGGGCGTGCCGAGCTCCAGGCCATCTGGCATGCCCTGAGCAGGGCGACGGCCCCCGCCACGCTGGTCACCGATTACGAGATGGCGGTGAGAGGCATGAGGAGGGGCCGACAGTGGTGCACGGCGCCGCAGAGGAGCAACTGCGACATCTGGATGCGCATCTGGAACGTCGTGGACGAGACCTTCCCGAACATGGATGGCCTCACGGCGGTGCAAGTGCGGTCGCATGGCAGAGGGCAGAATGCGTTCCACGTGCACGGCAACAAGATCGCCGACGAGTTGGCGGTGAAAGGAGCGCAGCCGGCCATGCCGCCGCAGTGGCAGATCGACGTCTGGCAGGACCGCTGGAAGACGGTGCAGCAGGTGCTGGACTTCGTGGCAGGCATGGCAGTGGAGGTCGGCGACTTCGGGGACGTCGCGCTGCCCACCAAAGAGGAGGCACGGGCGCAGCGCCGACGAGAGGCCCAGCTGCGAGGACGGCAGCCCGAGGCTGACGAGGCGAGGCCTGCCATGACATCGGCAGGGAATGCCACGGCTACGGCAGCGGCAGCTGTGGCGGCGGCAGCGGCAGCGACAGCGGCAACAGGCGCATCGCCTGAGGAGGTGGCTGCCGCAGCTGAGGAGGCTGCGAGGGTGGCGACCCAGCCAACAGCAGCAGCCGCGCCTGCCGACGACGAGATGGAGGAGGACGACCCCGTCGAGGACTCCGACGGTGGCGGTGAAGCTGCAGGGCCGAGCGCGCCTGCTGGCCCTGTGGCGCGAGGACGGCCGCGGGGCCCGACGACCAGGAGGCACAACTTCGTCACGGAGGGCCAGTGGTACAGGTGCCTGGACTGCGGCGCGCGCTCCAAGGTGCAAGGGGCCAGAGCGGCGCAGTGCAAGCGCCAGCGGTGCCCAGGAGTGCGGCAGCGAGTGATCTATGAGGGTGGCTCTGGTCGTGGCGGTGGAGTAGGCGCGCATGTGCATAGGGGTCGCAGCCGAGGCCGAGACGCCTTGACGCCTAGCTCCCAACCGCCCGAGCCTGTTGTGCCTGCCCCTCCTGCTGCTCCTCCACCTCCTCCAGAGGGGCCAAGCTCGGGGCCAGCCCGAGCTAGTGGAAGTGTGGCCAACAGGACCCTTGACCCAGCGCAGGGGCACCAGCTGTACCGCGCGGGGCCGTGCACCTTTTGTGGCCGATGCGGGGTGCGGTGCTCAGGGCGAGTTCTTCGATCCCTAGGTGACCGCTGCCGAGGTCAGACGGCCTCGGGGCAGGTCACCAGCGCGAAGGCTAAGTTGCTTGGTGGTTGGCACCCCACGCAGGTGGGCGCGCGAGTAGCCGAAGCAGCAGTGCGGCTCTCAGACTGTGAGGTCCGCGCCTTTTTCGGGGTGGCCTAGTGGCTGCCTGCCGTCGCAGCTCGCGTGCAGCCGTTGCGCCGCGAAGCATTGCCACGGCAAAAAAATAATGAGCACGATTAGAAATGAACGACGTGTGCGTTGCGCTGCTAGCCTGGGTGGAGCTGCACCCTGAAGCACCAACTGCGCCAGGCATTGGAAACCGGCCCTCGTTGCGGTCCAGCTGAGTTCTAGCTTCTAGCAGCTTCCAGGAGGCTGTCCCAGTCTATACGTGACCCCTAACAGTCGTTTATTTTGGCCCCCCCTTTTCATTCGGCGGTGACTAGAACTGGTCCTAAAACCTCTTCCTCCTCCTCCTCCACCTCCTCCTCCTCCCCATTTCTCCCTCCTGGAGCTTCTGAGGAGAAAGTTTCCGAGGCTCGAGTTTCTGAGCTAGGACTTTCCGTGAGAGCGCTCCTGAGGCAGAAGTAGTGGTAGCAGTTGTCGCAGTCGCAATCGTAGTCGTAGCTGTCGTCGTCGTTGTTGCGCGGCGGGTGCATCGGAACACAAAACTTAGTTACCCCCCTATTGGTGGCCCCCCCAGTCCCTCAATGAGGCCAGACCGAAACTAATAATTTGTTACCCTACCGGTGGGTGGTTTCTCAAGACCCTTCGCGATTAGCACCCTTGCTCGCACACGCGGCAGTTCGCGGAAGGTTAGCTCGCTTGCCTCCCGCGCCCGCGGGTGAGCAGATCTTCGACTTTCTTGTCCTTGCCGCGACATGCCACACCAGGATGGAGGTTGGATCTGAGACCCGTGAGTCTGGAGGGGACATGCCGCCATCCAGCAGTGGCATTTTACGTCGTGTGGACTCGCACGAAAAATTGGGCGAATGGAGTTGGTGCAAGCATTGCTTTGCGCCTCGCAGTGGCCAGCCAACGAATGCTGCCCAGGCCCCTTTCAGGGAAATGGGGTAACCGCACCCTGTTGGCGAGCAGTTTTGGTTCTTCTCTTGCTCTTCAAGACGGCTCGAAGGGGCGGTTGGTCAACTTGTTGGCTCCGACCGGCACGCCAAACCCTGCCCTGAAAGCGATGCCGGCAGAAACATATCAGATTAGGACGCCGTTTCTTGACTCGATCCCCCACTGGGTCGGATGGGCGGCGACAATTGCGGAGCCCGCCGTGCAGTCGCCCAGGCGGCAGCTGGGCTTCGGCCAGGCAGTGGAGGAAGCCAGGGAGGGTGGCCCGGCGGAGGGGGCTACATCCGATGACGTAGGTCCCTACAAGATTCAGGGCAACGCCCTGTCCGATGAGGGGGCGGGGAAGGCTGCGTCGGAGTCGTTGTCGCGGCGTCGGGGGGGGGGGGGTCGGACGAGGCCGATCAGTGGAATGTGACGGCGGCCCTCGTGAGGGCGAGGGCTCGCCGAGCGATGGAGCTGGCGCAGGAGCAGGACCCTTTGGGCGGGGGGCGGCCCACCGAGGAGA